GGGAAAGGCAAACGGCACTGCCGGGCGGGGCTGCCGGGGGCGTTTCCGCCGGACACCGAGCTCCATGCCGGCTGCAGGCAGAAGCCGCCCAAGCACTACGTGGCGGTGACAGCAGCAGCGCCACCACAGCTCTGAGGGGAGAGGAGCAGATTCTCTCCACCCGCTCCGAGGCTTCGGCTCTATCCTTCAGTGGGCCAGAGGCAGGAAAACGCTGAACCACTGGGTAAAGATTTTAGTCCAGCAACTGACAGAAAAACCCCCACCCTCCACCCAAAATAACCTACACACAAAACCCCCAAACAAGCCAACAACGAACAAACAGCTGTTGCCCGATACCAGTGCAAACAAAGCTTTTCCAGTCCGAGACGAACCTCCCAGGCTTGCGCAAGCTGAGCGCACGGAATGCCAAGCACACAAGAAAACTGAACACACCCCTGGCTGGAAAACCACAGCCTTTCCGGTTCGTGACACCAAACGCACGTTCTCTCTGAAATGGATTAAGGAACAGACAGTGGATGAGCGCTGGGTTTAGCACCAACACACACAAGAACACATGTTCTCGCCTGCTGCACTGGACAACTTCAGACAGCAGTTGCCCAAGAGTCACGGCCACAAGGTGTTTGGGCACGACACGCACCGGTTTCTTTAAGCCTGAGACACGCAGACATCCATCCTGTTTCTTGCTCCTGGGTTGTGCCAGTGTCGTTAGATACCGGCGATGGAGACGCAATCCTGCCAGGCTCTCACCACAGCCCTTCTTTTTCAAGTTAGGACGTACTTATTCAGGACAGAAGTGCAAAATGACACAAGGAGGAAACAACTGGACTTAGTCGGACTAGTAGGGCGCTGCCTCCAAAGCAGCAGTGCAACACAAGAGAGCAGCCCACAGCGATCAGCCACACAGAGACCCCACGTGCTGGTCACTCTGTGGCGGCAGCCGTGATAAGGCACCGAAAAAAGCTGTAAAATGAGGGCAGCAGAGTCCACGTTCGTAAGGCCAAGTGCGTCACCATCTTCGCGTGAGAAATGGAAACCTTATCCAGGAAACACCAAGCCTCCTGTTTAAGGCACAGATTGAGAAGAAGCCCCCAAAGTTTGTCTCCCCAGGACTTGCCTTTGTGGTGGGATATGCTGCACCCAAAGGCTCTACCACCCTGGGCCTGTCACGGCAGGCAGCACTACAGTGTGGGAGGGAGTGTGGCATTCCCCCGGCAGTCCACGTACTGGTAGTCTTCGAAAGCCAGCTGCTCTGAATGACACAGGTACGTGCAGGTCAGGGTACCCCTGCAAGGCAAAAACCAGGCAAGAACTGCACTCATGGTCCAGTAGCTCTGGACCAAAGAATTACTTCCCAACAGCTACAGTCAGTATTCCAAGAAGGAAGTTCGCCAGGCCAGCTTGCCTTAAGCAACAGTGACAGCTGAGCTGTCAGTAAGCCTGAATCCAGGGCACTTCCCGGGGCAGTGAAGGCTTTAGAGAATGCTCTCCTGCTCACACCCCTCTGGGTAACAGCAGTGTCACACTGCAGGCAGTCCTGCGTGTGAACAGCGGCTGCAGGCCTTCTTGAGGGGAGCTGAGAACCAACTCAGGCGACAGGGATGTCAGTTATAGCCCCAAACCAGGCATCACTTACTGTATGTGCAGCAGAACATTGTGAACTTTGACTTTTGTCCAGGTGCAAATGTTACTACAAGAGAAAAGAGAGAGTTAACGTCACAGGAGCTGCCTGCACCAGGTGTCTCCTGTCCCTGATTATTCCATTGCTTCTCTGCTTCTCCAGAACAGTCAGAATATCACAAAGAGACAGCAGCTATGCAGGCAGGGTTTTCAAGCCCAGCAGCACCTACACCAGTAAAATATGTTTTGGCTGGTGTAACTCTGACTGTGGATCTAGTAAGCACGGGCCTGGTAAACACGCAACGTGCCACTCTGTGCTGAAGCTTTGGTTGCTATGAGCTTCACATCGTTCAGTGGCTGCTTGCAGAGAAAGGCAGTTTGTACAAGGCACCTTCAGCTGCTCAAATGGAGCGTTTAAAGTTGACAGCCTCAACAGCAGTTGATATAATCACCCATCAGAACGTAAGGAAAACAACACTGCTGAGTCGACACTAAGCAGAGAATACCAATAAACAGAAAAGATGAGTTCTAAATGGATGTGCCAGACTTGAATCCAGACCACCTCCATCATTAAACTGGAAAGGACACACTCAGCTCCGCTCTACAGACGGGACCAGCACAAGAAATCTAGTCAGGAAAAGCATTAACGTCCGTACTAACCAAGGGAAAAAATCCTCAAGAATTACTCACTAGGTGTTGTTGTCCAGTATCCTGCTGGCCACCATATAATTGATCTGTGAATGTGAACAGAAGAGACAGCAGGAAGCACATGAGAACTACGAAGTACAAACTACAGAGTGCACACAGCTCAGAGCTCTAGTAGGGAACACCGGACTCTTGTTAGGTGGTGCACCTCAATTTCAAGATGTACCCTGTACTGTTTTCAACAGTAGGTAAAAGAGAATCAGAAATTAGATCTAAAGAGGTCACCTAGGCCACACACCTGATCTTCACACCAAGAATGCATCAGCTGTGCTCCAGCGGTTCCCGCCAGGGTTGCATGACCTGGTTTTAAGCTTGCCATCATTTCAAGGCAAGCACACATCCCAGCCCACCCCTGGAGAGCAGTTCCTTCCCCAGGAATGTACTAGCTTCAAACTCAGCAAAGTGCGAGTTCGTACAGCACCCCTTTCCCGAGTGGGATGTGGGAAGCGTACAACAAGCACCCCCCTGTCCAGGACATCCGGATCGCTTTAGGAGACAAGCCCCAGCAGAGCTCACCTGGCTGCTCCGCAAAGGGCTCACGCGCAGCAGGGTTTCCACGGTCACCTTCCCTACTACCAGGGACTGGTGCAAAACCTCTACATCCAGATGCACAACAGTGACCAGGTAGAAGTTGTTGTTAGTTATGTTCAGCGTGTTCTAGGGAGTGAAACAAAAAAAACCACCAAAGCACACATCACCTTGCAGCAGGGCCATAAGCCACTATTGCAAAGCTACTTTAAATAGAATCATAGAATCGTTTGGGTGGGAAGGGACCTTAAACCCCTCCCAGTCCCGCCCCCTGCCATGGGCAGGGACACCTTCCACTAAACCAGGTTGCTCCAAGCCTCATCCAGCCTGGCCTTGGACACTCCCGGGGATGGGGCATCCCCAGCTTCTCTGGGAACCTGTCCCAGTGCTACCCACCCTCTGCGGGAAGAATTCCTTCCCGATAAACCAATCTAAAACTCCCCTCTTTCCATTTAAACCCGTACCCCTTGTCCTGTCACTCCCTACCCTTGGGAAAAGTTCCCCCCAGGTTCCTTGTAGCCCCCTTCAGATACTGGAAGGTGCTGTAAGTCTCCTCAGAGCTTCCCTTCTCCAGGCTGAACAAGCCCAACCCTCTCAGCCTTTCATCACGAGAGGGGCTCCAGCCCTCTGAGCATCTTCGTGGCCTCTGGACTCAGAATACACCACACTGCCCCTTTCAGTACACCCAGCCTGGACACGAAGGCACGTACACTGCGCCGTCTCACATGACAGTCAAAGGAGGACGACCAAGCAGCTCGAGGATGCAAAAGGATTCCCATAATTAACCTCAGTGCTGCTTCTCCACAGCCCCTCCGGCTGCTCTGCGTGACCTGCTCGCTCGCAGCCAGGCCAGCCATGCTGCTGATGCCGTAGCACACTCTGGACACCGGCTCCAAGCAGCCAGAGGCTGGACCGGGACGGCGGGGTGGGTCAGACTGGCTTCCATCAGCGAGTACACCTCCACGGGGAGCGGCACAGGAGAGCAGCAGGGAGCTTACCGTCAGGTTGAGGTACACGCTGGTGGTGGCGGCACTAAAGCCGACGGAGGAGGCGTTCAGCCCGGCAGGCAGCACAGCAATGGAGCGAGGAAACAGGAAGAAAATGCTGAGGGACGTGGTCAGCAGGCAGGTTGTCACAGCGAGGCACACATAGAGTTTCCTGCAAAACAGCACCAGGGCTGCAACGATTCTGCAGGCGCCTGCAGCTCTGCTTCCGCTCAAAGGGAGGAGGGGTGGGAGCCTGGGAGCCTGAAAGCTGGGAATGGTTCATGCAGGATTTGCCAGCTAAGTGACAGCAGACGCGGGATAGTCCCGCACACGGAGCGTTAAAGCACCTGCTGCTGACAGCTGCTCAAAGCATGGTGCTGCTGAAGTAACCTACTGCAGGTCAGAGCAGAGAGCAGGACACCCCAAGTGCTGCAGCTTTCCTTCACGTGCAGAAGAAACACTCCAAAGATGAGAAAAAGGGAAAATTTCACGGAACTTACGTTCGCCTTGGCTTCAGCCGCTGGTCACCGTATGGAATCAGAGCCACCAGTTCCTTCTCTTGCTCTGAAAGAGGTGCCAGCAGGTCAGAGGCCACGCTAAGCACACACGCAAATAAAGCCAAGCGTGCGGCGACCCCGCACAGTGGCCTGTGTCCGTGCTCCACAGGTGATGCCGTCCAACCAGAAGGCAAGCGTGATGCAACCAAGATTTTGGTTTGAGCGTTCCCATCCCAGGGCAGAAACAACAACTGCCCCGGGGCTCCAGGGTGGGCTTTGAGTAGTTACCTAGCAGCAGCACTACCTGCCTTCCCCTCCCGCCCTTCCCAGCAGAGACAGCAGCCACAGGCGAGCTGGAGGTACCGAGATGGGACATTCCAAGACGGGACATAACGAAGACTGACTGGCCAAAGCACAGACTTTAGGCAGAGACACGAACCAACCTCAGAAGGCTCAAAGAGCACTGGCCCAGCACGCTAGAATCACCTACCCCTGGGGATCCTCCCTGTTCCCTGACAGGTTGGACAGCTGACACAGCTTCCATGTGCAACGCCCGCACAGGGCACGCAGGGCATAGCAGCGTCGTTGATGCTGGCGTAATTGGCGATTTCATCTTCAGCATCCTGATGCCTGGGGAAAATCAGTCTGCCTTCACTCTCCTTTCGGTCAGGTGTTCTCCAGAACGGCGACAGTTTTCCACCCATGGCTGAAAGAAGAATTCTCACTGGGTGTCCGACATGAGAATTTATTAAGGAAATTGTCTCTGGGAACTGACTTCCAAGAGCATTTGCAGCAGACCGCAAGTACCGTCACGTTTAGCACCTTTCGCAAAGCACAGCTCTGGAGTGGCTTTGACAGCTGGATTACTGCTAGCAGCTCATTTTTGTAAACGTTCAATCTTCTAGACACCCCAGTTGCGGGAAAAGTGCACGAGAATGCCACGCTAGGGCCTAGCACACCAGAGCCTTCATCTCCTAGTGCTCGGTGAGGGAGGGGAACACCAACTCGGATCTCGGGAAGGTTTCAAGGCGACACCGTAGCCCAGAACTGCCGAGCCCTGGACGGGTCGTCATTCACCTGCACCCAACAGGGGACTCGCCTGGGCGTCCCCACCAAGCGCAGCGTTACTAACAGTCGCAGCAGCCTGACTAAAATCAAACCGTGCGCAGGCAGAATCTAAAAACAGATAAAATAACAGACTCTATTTTTAAAAGTTGAAATTACAACTGGTTTTCCCTGGGTTCTGACAATCAAAACCATTTACATCAGCCCCCATAATCCTTCCAACAATACCGAGCGAGGAAAAGCAACCGTGTTTGCATCCCACAGACACCAGCCGGACGCAGTTCCCCCGCGCCAGTCCCGGACCAGCAGCCGGG